ATCAAATCCATGAAGATGATGTTTGTTATGACGATGATGATGAAGTTGAATCAACGGGAGCAAATATAGCAAACCAAAATGCAGAAGTTGCAACAATGATGAAGGAGATGCAGTCAAGGATGGAGAAAATGGAGAAAAAGTTTAGCAATGGATTGATTGTTTTGCTTGTTGTAATCCTTTTGGCTGTTATTGTTCTGAAATAATTATGCATTGTAATCATTTTGCCAATTTATGTCTTTGTTAATGAAATGCACTCAATTCCTACACACATTATTCAACACTTGCATTCTTGAACAAAAAACTATAACATGTCACAAGCAGTACAATGTGAGCAAAAAATAAGCAATAAACATCTTGTTTCAACCAACAATATTCCAACATTCCAATATCATCAACAATATTCCAACATTCCCAACATAACACAAACACCACCACCATGTCTGAATAACAACCAAAATAACTTCAAAACACCTCCAACACCAGAACACTTCAGTCACAACCAAAAACCAAACAAAACCCCTAACACCATATCACCACCAATATTAAAAACAACATCACCATGTCACCACCAACCAAAATCAAAAGATGTCAATATTCCCAACATAAAAAACAATACCACCATGTCTTAACAAGTTTCAGTATCACCACCAACATTCAAATACATACCAAATAGTCAAAAGAACACCAACATAGCCAAAAGAACACACCTTCAGATGGAGGTTTGAGGGCCAGTCAAGCAACCTAAGCTGTGCTCTGCTGAGTAGAGGTTTGCGGGCCATTGCAGTTGACAGAATTCCCCTGTGATGAAGGCTCACTTTGTTGCTGCAAAAACACAGGAAAAAAAAAAGAACTAAAAAACTGAAAGTAAAAATTGAATAACAAAAAACTGAAAACTTTTAGATGAAAAACTGAAAACTGAAAGTTTACCTGCTCAGGATTATTTGTACCAACTCTCTTGTTGCACCTTCTCTTATTATGATTATTTGCTCCACACACAGTGCATCTTTTGATAAGCCCCTTCCTACTGCTATTTGTTGCCATTGACCTCATGTCATTAGCATCAGCTCTTATTTTTTTTGTTGGCCTACCCCTCTTTTTCACATCATCAGGAGGCTGAATTGGGCCCATACCAGATTCTTCATATTCATTCATGCCTGGAACTGGGAAGATCATATGGCTATACATCCTGATATACATGTCTTTCTTCAAGAACTCAGACACATAATCAGAAAGATCCAACCTATGATAGGAGATGCATGCCAGTGCATGGCAGCAGGGGTACCCAACCACTTGAAACATGCCACATGTGCAACTCTTTGATCCCAGTTGGACTATATGGCTGTTTACTCCATGAACCACCTCATACTTGTCTTCTCCAGCCCAAGTAGGGAAACAATTCCTGCTGAATTCTCTTTGCTCTTCAATCTTCCGGACTGTGTTTGGACAAATATCCTCTGAGTATTTTTCTATTCCTGCTCTCTTCACTTGGATCCTTGCCATCAGCCTTCTTCTGATCCATTCAAACATGTCTATAATAGGCATGTTCCTGCCCTCCAAAATATAATTGTTGAAAGACTCAGAGATATTATTGATAATGACATCACAAACAGCATTAGAAGAGAAGTAACACCTTGCCCAATGTTCTTCAGGGACATCTTTCAGCCATTCAAATTGAGTGACCTTTCCATCCTTCTTAGGAACAAGCCTTTGAATTTGGTTCATGCACCTCAGATGCTCTTTCACATTATAAGTGCTAGCTGCCTTCCAAAACCATTTTCTTAAATCTAGATCCCCCCACTTCTGTTTAAAATTGTTGTACATATGCTTCAAACAATATCTGTGTTCTGCCCCCTCAATTTCACTCACAGCTTCAATCAAACCCTTATGTCTATCTGAAACAAATGTCCATTTATTTTGCCTATATGGATCTATATCTCTCAGTAGCCTTTCAAGAAACCACCTCCAAGAATCTGTCTTCTCAACTTCAACATATGCTATTGCAATTGGCAGCATATTATCATTGCCATCCCTACCAATTGCTGAAAGTAGTTGACCACCATGGAGAGTCTTCAGAAAACATCCATCAAGCCCTATAATTGGCCTACAACCAGTCAAAAATGCTTGTCTCAATGCAGTTAAGCAAACATACATCCTCATGAACTTTGGAGGGGAAAAATCATTGTTCACCTTCAGTATTAGAGAACTAGCAGGATTGTACTTGTATACTGTAGAACAGTAGTCATAGAGCCTCTTATACTGTTCCCCAAAGTCAACCTTCAATAGAGAAAGGGCATACACCTTGGCCTTGTATGCCTTATGCAGACTGACATCAACCCCACAATGCCTCTTGATTTTATTTTTCAAACTTGCCAAACTCTCACTAGGATTGTCCCTCAGAGTATCTACCATCCTCTTCCCAAGATATTTGTAGTCTGCCTGTGTGTTTTCTGTCCTGTAGGAACATGTGTGTTTTCCTTTCAAAGTCTTGATCTGAAAAGTGGACAAACCTCCAATAATTGAGGCCCTCAAGGACCAGTCACACCCACTTTTGCATTGTGCTGTGATGAGCTTGGCTTCATTCTTGGGAAACTTCAAATCATAGCCTTTTCTAACAGACCAATCCCTAATCACATCCTTGAATTTTGCTCTGCATGGGAATTTCTGACCAACTCTCAGCTCAAAACTTGACATATCAGTATTGTCATTCCATTCATGAGGCTCTTGAAAGCAGTTGTCATCATCCTCAGCCTCACTGTACCAATCTTCTTCTCTAGCCCTTTTAAAACCTTCAGCTTCTTCTCTTGCTTTTTTTTTCTGCTTTCTTCTTTGTTTTATCCAATCTCTTGCCCTCTTGTGTATCTTCTTAGCATGACCATGACCCCTCTGTTGGAATATGTCATCATCATCAGGGCCTTCTAGATCTTTCAATTCCCATTCAGATAATTCAGAGGACTCACCACTACCTTCTTCAGGTTCATACTCTGAATCCTCTGAATCCTCTGAGTCTCCAAAATGATGTTCTGCCCCCTCACCTTGTTGTTCTGCCCCCTCACCTTGTTGTTCTGTCCCCTCAGCTTGTTGTTCATCCTCTTGGCCAACTGTCTGAGATCTATCTTCACCATGCTGTGCTTCAGCTTCATTAAATGGCTCATCTCTTTGACCAGTACCATCATGTGAACCAGCATCATGTCTCACTTCTGTAGGGTCCACCTCATGAGAACCAACATCATAAGTATATTCTGTAGGATCCACCTCTTGTTCACCAACACCATCACCATCTTCTGTAGGATCCACCTCTTGTGGACCAACA